ATTCATCACAGAAAATGCCCCAAATAAGGAAACGATGCCCTCTAAGGCTGTTTGTAAGATTGTTTCGAAGGAGTTACCGATTGAGGAAAAAGAGGAGACCACCAAGTGATGGTCCTAGTGAGTGCTCAGTCTGTGGTGGACACTTGCTTGGTGCTTTGTAGATCGAACCATTCAAGGAAGTGTGGTTAGTATCCCCTCCTTTTCATTCAGATAGACCCCAGGCTCTGATCTGCTCTGTGGTTAGGGCACTAGGAAATGGCAGAGCCTGGTGGAAGCTCTGAGCTGTCTCTTGTCTCTTCATTAGCAACATAAAGAGCATTGACAGCCCTGGCAGGTGGGCTCAGCTGGTTGGAGCATCATCCCCTGCGCCGAAAGGTTGTTCTATCTGAGTGTTACTTGCATTGATACCCTTTACAGCAAACTCTGGGAGATTAGGCTGTCTAGGCGGCTGTTTAACCCATCCTTCACTCCCTCGTTTGGTAACCCATCTCTCATATTTCTCCTAGTCATGCCTCGGATGTCTTGGAGACCTCGGGGTGGAAGGCAATGGTGGTGTCACATCCCCACTTGGTGGCTGAGGCATACCGCTCTCTGGCTTCAGCACAGTGCCCCTTTCTGGGACCTCCACGCAAGCGCCTGAAGCAGTCCTAAGATCCTGCCTGTGAGACTCCGTTTATTTTCCAGAAGCAGCAGCCACTGTTGCTGCCATTGACCACCAGGTAGACAGCGCAATCTGTGGAGCTTTGACTCCACTGTGGGGGGAAGACTGCATCTCGGCCCCAGACTTTTAAAACAGCACTAAGTAACCTTGGGGATGGGGGGAGGGAAGGCCGGGACTCGGGCTGTTCAACCTAATGAAACCCTGTTGCTGCGTCACTGTGTTCCCTTTGGCCTGACCGAGTTTGATCCTGTGGGGATTCGGTTAGGCGCTGGCCCTGAGGACAGCACTGCAGTGGTACTTGGAGAAATCTGTCTGCATCTAACTGAGCAGAACAAATCGTCAGGTGCCTGGAGCAAAAAGGAAAAAAAAAGAAGGACCGTTAGTTTTAAGAGAAGGGGAAGAAGAGGAAACAAGAAAGGATTTTTGCAGAATTTCTCAAAGATCAGTTTGTGGATTCCAGTACTATTTATATTGAGAGAAATTTCAGTCCATCCAACTGTGCTAAAACTTGGATATTTGTGAAAACTTCTCACCACCATGCAAGTATCAGAAGAGCTCTCTTGTTGTTAGCACTTACTGTTTGCAAGAACAGAATACATTCTTTTATCCCTTTATGAAAAACGACAAGCGAAGGCGAAAGGGGAAGGAGGTTATTTGATCTGGAAGATGAGTGTTCTGATGTGGTGGCTTTTGCAAAAAATCTTTATTGGTGTTGGAAACTGGAAAAAAATAATTCACCCAGAATTCATACTGTCTTGACAAGAACTATAGCTCTCTGATTTTAGATATTGTGGAAAATGTTTTTTTGGCATTTTTCTCCGATTTTATTTCTCCTTCCTCCCCCCTTTTCTAAAAAAAAACAAAAACAAAACAAAAACACAAAACATAAAAAGAAAAGAAAAGGAAATTTTATTATTAACGCTGTGTGAAAAAAATCCCAGCCCCGATTGCTCAGCTGTTCGTACCTGCGCCTGCATAGGAGCCAGTCCTGTTCCTTCCAATTCACTCCTCTTCCTACAGGAGAGAACTTCCAAATGTTAATTTTTTTTGTTTTTGAAAATATAAATAATGACTATTTTGTACTGTGTGGTATCTCTGGTCTTTTGTTTCACTCCTCTGATTGGTATTTTGGGTCTGCGTTCCTTAAGGGATTTTGAAGGCCTAGTTTGATCTGCAGTTTGCAGAGATAATGTTTGAAAGGTCTGAGCCGTGGGGTTTATTACATCTCCCTAATCTCAGGTTCCTTGGTGAGCTACCAGCATCTGCCAGTCTCTTGTCCTTGAGGATCTCACAATCCACCTCCTACTGGGGATCAGGCTCCTGCCTCTGCCAAGACAGGTAATGGAAGTGGGCTTTCTGCACCCTACACATTCTAAGACCTACTCTCAATGTCCTCCCAGTGAAATATAAAAAGATCAAGGGGACATGAATGTGGAGATTAAATAAAGGGAAGTTGTTATCTCTGATTGATTCTGTCACCGACTTGATGTGATGTCTGAATTCCCAGCGAGCTCACAGGAATGCTCTGGGCTCCTCTTCTGCCTTGGTCATAGCAGTGCGGGTCGGAAGGTGGGATACAGTGGGAAATGCATTGGCCATGTGGCCAAGGTATGTGTTATTTGACTTAGATGGAAACTCGACATATTTCATCTTCCAGTTCCCTTCAGTGACTTTAGCCTTTGCAAATATTCCAATTTTCATTTATCTTGCCACCCCTGGAATGGAGTAAATAAGATCTATTATCAATATAATCAGAGACAGGATTTGCTTGTTAGAAACCGACCAATCCATTGCGCTCTTCAGTGTCCTTCTAAGCATCACCTGTGTGAGGAACCGCCCAGTTCTCCAAGTTCTGGCTGCTGTCCCTGTGCCTCCTCGGTCCTCACTTCCCAGATCAGCACACAGTTCCGGGGATCAGGGCTTACACAGAGTCTCCTGCACCCACATTGTCCCTCAGGTGACTGCATTTGCTCAGCAATTCTCAAGTTTTCAGCGAACTTTCCATGCACAGTATCTCATCGGAACTTCCCAACAGCTTGATGTTTGGTAAGACAAGTGATAAATAGCATCTTCCCATTTTATAGATGAGAGATGTTGAAACCCAGAGAAATCACGTGACACGCTAAGATCGCAGAACTGTTGAGTGACAGTTCTAATGTAGAGCCCTGAAAAGATGGTCAGTCACTGTAAGAAGTTTCTTTTCTGAAGTGTTTATGGATCTAAGGTAAAGCTTCCTCCTGTGGGAACAGCAAGAGCGAAGCTCTGGGAAAGTGCCTTTGCTGCTTGCTCTCCAGAGGCTCCCGGAAGACAAACCAGACTTGAGATTGGCTTTCTTCCTCACTCAGAGAGCAATGGGCCTGGGGCTGGTGAGTTCCAGGAATATGTCCTCAGGGGCGGGGATAGCAATCCTGGCACCAAGCTTCTGGCAGAACGAAGATCCCTTGTAGGATTTTTCAATCTTTATGGAATTTCTAATGTGGACTTGACTGAGGGTACAAAGCTGTTAGGATTTCAGGTCCTGGTGAAGCCACTCCGTGCCTCTCCTGTCATTATTACATTATTTCTGGATGTGTTTGTTTTTGTTTAAATGATACAGTTGAAGCCATCTGGTTGTGACAACATCAGAGCCCCAGCATACTGTTCGTAACCCTCCCACTGCCACCACCCCCTCCCTTAGCTCCCCCACGTCTGAAATTTAATTCAAGTTAACTCCACAATCTGGGGCATGTGCTGTCACTGCAGAGATGTCCGTGCCAGTGGAACAGTTGGAGATTTCAATTCCACAAGGATATGGCTTATTTATCAAAACAATATTTCAGGCAAGCGGTTTCACAGCACCTTTGGCGTCGCTGTTTCCGGTCCAAATAAGAGTTTTCTGGCATCACTTCCCAGCTCCCCTCCTCCCCTGTGTTCAGCCCCCCTGTGTCTGGACATGGAGACAGTGAGCCATCCATGGAGAATCGTTCCCATTCCCTACGTGGAGATTAAACCTCCCTGTTGTCATTGGGCATCTCAAATGCCTTTAAGGGTTTTAACAATTTAGGGAAGAGATGCTGCTTTTCCTTATCGCTGGCAAGTCAGTTGGCTTTTAGGCCTTTGAAGAGGTTCTTCTTTTAAAAAGTATTCCAGCCGGGGACATTGAGATCTTTTCTTAGGCCCAAAGATCTCTGGCTTGACCACCACTCTGCGCATTTATTTATAAATCTGGTTTAAACCTATTATGGATTCTCCATATTGCATGAGTCCTGTGCAGATGAAAGAAAATAGCTTGTATGTTTATGAACAGAACAACAAACAGAGGGAGAGTTGAGCTGCACTTTGAAACTGACTGTTGCTTTGTTCTGGCTCTTCAACTCCTATAAAAGAACAACTGAATTCCCCCAACATGACTGTATTAGATCCTTCGGTTTATCTTTGTCAAAAGCAAATTCTTAAAAACACACACACACAAACACAAATACTGGGCTGGAGCCCAATCTTATTTTAATCTTTTTTTGGAGGGGAGGAGAGGTTAGAGATACTTTTATAACACCATAACAATCACCCTAGCAGGTTTGGCTCAGTGGATAGAGCATCGGCCTGCAGACTGAAGGGTCCAGGGTTCGATTCCGGTCAAGGGCACATGCCCAGGTTGCAGGCTCTATCCCCCGGTAGGGGGCGTACAGGAGGCAGCCACTGATCAATGGTTCTCATCGATTCTATCTCTCCCTTCCTCTCTGGAATCAATAAAAATATTTAAAAAACAAAAAACCATAACAATCATATTTTGGATACAATTTTAATTTTACTCGAATTTCACAAAAGAAGAAAATTGATAGAATTGCTGAATTCATATAAATATTTCCTCTAGACAAGAGATACTTCCCCTAAAATATCTCTTCAAGATTAAAAATAAAGAAACTGTGAGAACATTAAAGGTTGAAGTCATTATGATTTTTTCCAAGGACATATTTTCATTTTTGTTTGTATAGACTGACTTCTTGCTGTGAAAGAGTTCGTTGGCCCAGCCACACTGGCATGAACACGCAGTTCTGAAAATACTAAAGCCCTTCTGTACCAGTAACTATCAGCCACTGGACTCTCCCCAGGGCTCTCCCTCTCTCCTGGCCACCCCATCCCACCGTCAGGACTAACCCCAACCCCCATCTCCCCGGGACCCAGAGTTACAGGGGAAAGAGGACCCTGGTCCCCTCTCCCAGGCCCTTCAACACCCACCACTTAACACTTCGCTCCAAGCAGCTTGGTTTCCATCTGTTTTATATAATGGCCCTTAGGTAAGGCTTTGTTTGCAGAAAGATTTCCGTGTGAAAACCCTTTGAAAACCCTGCTCAAGGTCAGCCCTTGCAAGTTTGCACAGCCTGGGATTTCGAGAATGGAGGCCTTTCTCCCAAACACACTACCTCCTATGAAGTCAAGTGCACAGCTGTATCCTGGTGTGACTACCTCGCATCCAAATGGGCAGCAGACACAGGCCTGCAGGTATGGAGATGACCCCTGAGCCGGTTCCAAACCAGGTGAGGCAGAAGGTGCTGGAGCCCAAGCTCAAGTGGAGGCGGCAGGAAGGGAGTGAGTGGGCTTTGCTCCGTGCCCAGCCCTGGGCCAGGTGCTCACGGTCCAGATCCTCTCCAGTCCTATGAGAGGTGTTTCTTTGCTCCCTTCCCTTCCTTCTGGAATTACTGAGCACCTGTCTGTGTCAGGGGCTGGGGTACAAAGGCAAAGCTAGCATCCCCAAGACCTCACAGCCCCGTGAGAGCATCATCCAGAAAACAGCTGTGACTGGGGTGGGTGCAGGATGCAGGGGGAGCCCCAAGTGACTCAGGGAAGGTTCTCCAGTGGAGTTAAAGCCAAGCTAGGATTTGAAGGATGAGGAAGGGCATTGGAGGTGGAGGGAACTGCATGTGCAAGGCAGGGAGGCAGAAAACAGCCCGCCTGGTCTCGGAACTGTGGGAGGGCGTGGAGCCCAGGTCCAGGAAAGATGCTGGGTGAGGTTGGGGTCCCAGAACCCACTACATGGACCCTCTGCCTCCTTGACCTTTGCTCCTGGCTGCCTGGCCAGGAAGAGGTCCCCACTTACTGCACAAAAGGAGGCTTTGAAGCTGGAGAGAGGGAGTGAGGAAGCTGGTGTGTGTTTTGGATTGTTTCTCAGAAATCTCCTCCTCTAACACCATGGCAACCAGGCAGCAGCTGGGGTAGCCCCCTGTGAGCTGGGCTGAGTTGAGGGGGAGGTGGGCTGAGGCTAGGGACCTCTGCTCCCCCTCTCTGAGCCTCAGTGTTGGCATCTAGAATATGGGCACCACAACCCAGTTGCTGGCTCCTGTCAACCCAGGTGCTCCAGGAAGGGAGCCCCAGGCTGGACACATTAGGTCAGCGGTTCTCAACCTGTGGGTCGCGACCCCTTTAGGGGTCGAATGACCCTTTCACAGGGGTCGCCTAAGACCATTGTAAAACACATATATAATTACATATTGTTTTGTGATTAATCACTATGCTTTAATTATGTTCAATTTGTAACAATGAAATTGGGGTCACCACAACATGAGGAACTGTATTAAAGGATCACGGCATTAGGAAGGTTGAGAACCACTGCATTAGGGGGAGGGCTGGGGAGGTAAGGGCGGGGCTGGGGAGTTCCCTGCATCATTGGGCAGCTGGGGGCTCGGCAAGGGGAGGAGTCCCTGAGCCACGTAGCCTGCCCCTCCCACCAAGCAGCCTGCCCTGGTGTGCCCACTGCACTGTCCCTGCCAAGGAGCCCCTGGGGCAGCGAGAGACCGGACCGAGGCACAGACACAGGGGTGAATCCCCTGTGAGCCCCCGCAGTGAGAGGTCTAGGGGGTCTCCTGTGCTGGGGCACAGGGCTCACCTGTTTCCAGAACCCAAAGCCCCAAAAGGTGGGGCAAGAAGGGGTGCATTTCCTGAGGCTGCTGCTCCCATGACTACAGACTGGCCGAAACAAACAGGAACATGTGCTCTCCTGTTCTGGGCCCAGAATCTGCAATCAGGGTGTCTGGGGCTGTGGTCCCTCGAAGGGCTCCAGGGGGGAACCTTCCTGCCTCTTCAGCTTCTGGGGGCTCCTGGCCACATCCCTTCAGTCTTCATGTGGCCCCTCCTCATGTGACCATTCGTGCTTGAACATGTGGCCCCACCCCCTTGTTCAAGTGCTCTCTTCTGGTTGATCACAGCCCCCTTGAGGCCTTGCATGGTCTCTATTTCCAGGGTGCCCCCTCCCTGGTTGGCTATCAGCTCCTGCCTCACACCAGTCTCCAGTCCCTTTTCCAAAGTCCTTCCAGAAAATCTTTCCTCCTGGGACTGTGGCAACTGGGATTGTAAAAGAGACAGGAGAGCAGTGGCCCGTCCAGAGTCATGCAAGAGGTCCAGAGGGGCCCGTGCAGTCCCTGGTAGGCCCTTCCGAAGGGTAACCAGGTCCAATCTTATTTTTTACAATTAATTATCTTTTTAATCAGCCTGGACCCAGTGTGTTCCTTTATCCCATGACTTCTCACTGAACTCTGCCCGACATCATTTAGATTCATTTCTGATGGTTTGCTGACTAATCTCACATTCAGGTGAGTGTGGTTGGACTGCTCTTTATGTGTGTGATGCCCAAGGTGGATGTGTTTTTCCCCTTTTAATTTCAGAGGTGACTGCGGCGCGTTGGGGCCTTTGACCCAATAAGCAGACACCTCGTGCAGACAGAGAGCAAGAAAGCCAAAGCAGGACGGTCAGTGTTTTGGATAATGAGCTGGGCGCACCAGAAGCTTTGACCTCCAGATGAGAGTGGAAACTTGAATGTTGTTGACTGATGGGATCTTTGTGCCACCAAGCCATTAGCGAGATGATCCCTCCCCTCTAAACCCCATAATGCTGGAGTGGAAACTGGCCTGTGGGATACTGTTTGGTTCGGATTCCTGCAACTCTAAGGAAAAAGACGTTTAGATTTGAGGGGATTCAATACATGCAACAGAAATGATTAACGAGCGGAAGGGGATCAACTCTAGGGGAGAAACATTATCTATATATATAAAAGCTAAGCGACCAAACAACCAGTGCTATGACACACACTGACCACTAGGGGACAGACACTCAACGCACAGGATCGGGCTCCCTCCTGTCTGGATTGGGCCTGTGGGGATCAAGCCAAAACCGGCTATCCAACACTCCCCAAGAGGTCCCGAATTGTGAGAGGGCGCAGGCCAGGCCGAGGGACCCACCAGTGCACGAATCCATGCACCGGGCCTCTAGTGACGATATAGAAGGCGTAACTCAAGTGTGGGAATGTAGCACCCAGCCCACAGTGAACAGAGCTCCCTGGAGTTTGGAACACTTGTGGGCTTGTCTTGTGCAGCTCCCCTTCATCCCAGGCATATGGCTTGGGAAGGTGGTCATGCCATGTCCTCAAGGTCACTCAACCTGGCTGTAAGCCAAGAAGCAACAGAAGGCAAAGGAATAGTTTTGGGGCACGGGCCCAAGGACCAAAGAGAAAGCGAAAATCCAAGAGTTTGCCTGGCAGTAGAGGGGACATACCTGCTCCTTTTGCCCAGGTGAAGTGGGGAGAGTTTCGACCCCCTCAAGACCCTTGAAGGTGAGCTCTTAATCAACCGAAAGGAAAAGAGGGGCCCCACACAGTTCACCTTCCTTTCCTGTCTGAGAAAACAGACATCCAGAAAAGTGAGGTGTCAGACTCAAGGTCACAGAAATGAAAATTCAGGCCACTGGTTCTGCAAACCAGAAGGTGCCAAACATTGGGCGAGGCTGGGGCTGAGGTGGAGGGTAGGATTTCTGCTCTAATTCAGTCTAGTCGCAGCGGTTCTCAACCTGTGGGTCGAGACCCCTTTGGCGGTCGAACGACCCTTTCACAGGGGTCGCCTAAGACCATCCTGCATATCAGATATTTACATTACGATTTGTAACAGTAGCAACATTACAGTTATGAAGTAGCAACGAAGATAATTTTATGGTTGGGTCACAACATGAGGAACTGTGTTTAAAATATATATATATTTTTTTTTTTTTATTGATTTTTTACAGAGAGGAAGGGAGAGAGAGAGAGAGTTAGAAACATCGATGAGAGAGAAACATCGATCAGCTGCCTCCTGCACACCCCCTACTGGGGATGTGCCCGCAACCAAGGTACATGCCCTTGACTGGAATCGAACCTGGGACCTTTCAGTCCGCAGGCCGACGCTCTATCCACTGAGCCAAACCAACTAGGGCAAGGAACTGTATTTAAAGGGCCAGAAGGTTGAGAACAACTGGCTCTAGTGGAAGAGGCAGGGGAACGGCACAGGGACGGGTCGGGGGTCATAGCATTGAGGACATGGCCGTAAGGAGGTCAGTGGTTACCTTAGAGCAGTTTCTGGCCACTGATGGAGGCAGAAGCCAAGGCTGAGGAGAAGGTAAGCAAACAGACTGAATATAACTCCTTTGCAGACGTCGGGCCGGGAGAGAGGAAGGGAATCTCTCCCGCCCACTCTTAAGAACTTATGTCTCAATGTAGTCAACACATTTATTTTTGTCTAGAAGTCATGGCATACAGGTTGTTCCGTAAAGTTACAGACACTTTCATAACTGGTATTTGTAATAAAAGTCATGTTTACAGGATAATTATAGCTTTAAATCGAGAAAGAAAACAAGCACCTTCAACCCCAACACAATTTCGAGAATGGTTCCTGA